GTGCCTCCAGAACGCCCTCGGCAGGAAGTAGAAGAACAGGGAAAGTGGTGATTTGGCCGATGCCAAGACATCTTTCGACGGTCCACAGTAACCTTCGTACATTTTGTCAACTTCCGGGTCGTCGACAATGTCCGCAACCTCATTTTCAGGGTACACGGTCCATCCTTGAGCCGCCATATCAGCTAATTGGCTGTCGTCGAAGACTTCGGATGACCCTGTCAGCATAAATTCCAATTAATAAACTGACTTTGTCATCACAACACACAACGTCTTTTAACATACCTTCCACTGCCATATGTAGCCGTTCCAAGTCGGCCTCGTTCAACAAACCGGCAATTCGCCTTGATTCGGCAACAACCGATTCGTCAACAAGAGATTCGTCTTCATCGTCTGTGTCCAGCATATCTGCAACACCGACTGAGTCTTCGCCCTCTCCATCCGACTCGATGCTCTTCTCGACCTCGCCGAGGACGAGATTAGGATCACTTGGCTCTGCGTCAGCAAACCCAAGGTGCTCGAAATGAGTCTCTACAGCAGCTGGAACCCGAAGCGAAGCGAATTCTGTGTCCACTCAACCCTCATTATCCTCTCGATCATCACGTTCGGCTACTGAAATCTGCGCAACTTCTTCGTCTTCATCATCCCCTTCCGATTCAACAGCGTTTGGGTCGTCTTCGTATTCACTTTCCGAGCCATCACCGGAGTGACCGTCAACGTCGTTTTGGGTGTCAGCACGTTCTGCCGATTAGAAACACGATCGCGTCAACATAATTTTTCAAGTCAGCGTAAAAAAATCAGTATATACCTTCCGTGTCAGCATATCAGGGGTTGACTTGGTCAGCATTACCTAAAAACCATTTGTGTTCTTGTCAGCATTGTATTCAAGTCAGCATATGCGCAAAACCACATACCTTCCGTGTCAGCATTAAGGTGGTGTTCTGGTTCGGCGGCAGGTTGATCCGGAGCCTCTACCTCTTTGCCGTCCCTGTCTAAACATTCTCCAAGTTAGAACCAGCTGTAGACACCACACATCAACATACGAACATGCCTTGAGCATTGGCACCACCCCAAATGTTTGTGAACGAAGACAACCGGCGGCGTCGCTCTGTGGCTTCTTCTGCCTCTTGCTTTTTCGTCTTCTTCATCTTATTGGGCGTTTGCCGTTTTTCACTCTTCTTGTCTGCAGAGTTACAAGGCCCCACCGTCTTTGAACGTTTCTTCGGTGGCTGTTCCCTGCTTGTAGTATCTGCTCTCTTGGCTGAGGTCTTTGGTGTACTTGAGACCGAAGATGGTAAAGGCTCGGCACCAAAAACACACAAAACGTCATCATAAAGCACGAAACATGTTTGAAGTGCGCATACGCTTACCGAGTGGAACTGCATTGGGACGCACCATGATGTTGGTGAGATTGAGGCGGACGCGCAGGTCCTTGTCCGCCTTTACGTGCGCAAGCAACGCATCTTCGCCGTTGAAGAAGTCCACTCCCTGCTTGCAGCCCCGAATCTTGCAGCCAGGCTTCAAATAGTTCGACCTACAGCAAAATATAATCAAAGTTAGTAGGGATAACCGCATCAATATCATAACACTTACTGTATCTGTAACCCTTTTGCTGGTTTCCATGTCCACCCTTCCTTGCGCAGTAGCGGCCACACAACTTTGAAATCCACAACGTACTCCATTTGCTGTATGGGGCTCGGAATGAAGAATGAGTGGTGACCACGAAAGGGGAACCGAAATTTGATATTTTGGAAAAAAATATAGTCCGGCTCTTACCTGCGGTACTTCGGTACTTCAATCCGGCTGTAAATGTTATCCAATAGAATTCGTTGCTTTCAAAACGTGGACCAATCAAAACCTTTTCAATTTGGGAAGTGTCGACGATGGCAGTTTGCGGATTTCAAGCCATAGTGAAATCAAGTGTTTCTTATGCTGTTCAGAACAGCATAAGACATTATTGCAAGGCTCCGCGTCCAAGGGGTTAAGTGCATCGGAGCTGTTCAAGATATTCTTTTTATTAAGGTTCTTGATAGCCCACAGCATCCTCAACCGCATTACATTGATGTCATGACTGGACACCCCGTAGTTCTGCTGCTCCACATTCCCAAAGATATAGTTGTGAGCTTGTGCGACTACTAGGACAGCACAACTAGCTCCGTCAGGTTGCTGTGGAGTTTCAATCCATTCAATCAGATCAATAATAAGCTTCCGTTCGACCATCGAGGCTTCATGCCACCGTAGCACAAACCCACGTAGGCCTTTCTTCACTGCCCTCGTCATTTGGTTTTTTTTGGTATTCCTACCCAGACTTTCTCCATCGCACTGCGATACCCTTCATCAATCAGAGGCTCGTACATGTAGACGTGTAGCCGCGTCGTTTTTTTTGTAGTTTTCAGACTGATGATAACAATGCCCCAGTGGTTCCGTTTCAAATTTACAGGATCGACGATGAGCCCGACTTCTCCAATTGAATTACGCGGTTTGGTAGGCCATCCCACGGCCCACGTAAGTGATGATAATCCAAATGCACCCTCAACCGAAGCTACAATTGTTTCGATGCGTAAATCAATCGGGCTATCATTCAGCCATCCGCGCAAAACCCACCCACTATGTTTTCAAAGCTGATCCGAGCGTATTTTAAATTCAGTACGCAGCCGAGAAGAAGCGAACTTCGAAATCACCTCATTTGCTAGAACTTGGTGGCGATTGCAGACATCATTCGCTGACAGTCCACAAGTATTTGTTTGCCGAGCGAAAAGATCTACATCGGACTTGAATTTTCTCCAATCCTGCTCTAGCCACTTGCGGTCCTTAAACCACGCTCTTCCCATCGCCTTGATGTCGTAGAAGACCGCTGAAGCATTGAGATACTGACTAGAAGCAACGTGACACAGCAACCATAATCAGTAAAGCAACCCAACTAAAGCAACCGTACTTATAAAACATTCCTACTACAGCAACCGCAAGCCTAAAGCAACCTTACCCGCTGAACTTCCAAAGCTTTGGATCGATAGAAGAAACAATGTCAAGGACAATGCCTTGCTTTTTCACGTTGTCATTCAGTGCATCAGGTTGTTGCTGCTCGCTTTTTGTAGTTGTAATCGCAGCCTGCATTGAACGCATGAGATCCGCCGGAATCACGAAGCTGTGCATGTACTTAGATGGCAAGAATGCTTCCCATTGTCAACCGATTGTACGGGACCTCAGATAGGCATCCTCCAGTTGAATGGGGTACTTCTTCATTATCTCGGGCACATACTTAGGATTTGGGGTGCATCGCGCCCACATGACGAGGTGATGCAAAGGCACAGTAAGGCCACTGGGATATTGATGAACCGCTAGACGCTGCAGCCCCGACGTGAGCTTTGTTTGCCGCAGCTGCTTGGTTGCTGTACGGGGTCTACCGCGATGCTTCGGTTTGGGAACGCTGACGACGTCAACTTGGCGCACAGGTGTCGCGACTGGTGCTATATGTTCTTGTATTATTTCTTGAATCTGTGTGGCTGGCAGTGCATCATCATCGTTGCTGCTGTCTGAGGAGTGTTCGGGACTTGTAGTTTCCAGTACATCCATGAGGTTTGCAGTCCCCATTGCATCTGCAGGATCTAAGACTGATACTATATCCTCATCGAGTACATCGTGCTCGCCCACGCCTTCGGCGGAGTCGGAATTTTTACTACGTAGCCCTATTTCCACAGTATATTTTCATGCGCGTAGTTCTTGATAGAAATTCACATTCGATAAGTTGGAAAGATGCACAAGCAATGGTTCATGCATAGCCTTTGTGTATGAATACTTCTCGGCAGAAGAAAGGACGACCTGATTTGCTCGTTCATGCCGACGTAACCGAACGTAGGCTACCTGCTTTGGCTGCTTGGACGATGATACGGCCGAACCTTTGGTCTTGTCATCCGACGACGTTTCTCGGCGACCTTAACTTGGACATGCGCACAATAGACCCCAAAGCATCCGCCGCGGAAGCTAGTTCGTTTTTCACACCCAAAACATCGAAAGTACTCCCTCGCTGTTGAATTGAAGACGCTGGAAGCGCTTTAAAATGGTGCCCTTTGCTGGCCACATGCATCCAATGGCGGCAAGGCAAGTGGTTGCTTTTGTAAAACAAGCAGGTGCACGTCCAGTCAACGCTGTGACACGTGAGGGATTGGCTCGAGTGGCGAACCTTCCATATTGAGACCTTAAATCCCCGCTCGTAGGTTGCTGTGGGCATCAAATCCACGAAACATCCCCATTTTTTTCACCTTGTTCAAGATGTTCACTGAGAGCCGACTAGCTACTGCCCGCAAAAACCTTGGAACTGTCTTAGATACTCGCAACGTTGAGTGCTGCTGTCCAATCTCCGAAATTATCTGCTGCGTGATGGTCATCTGGTGCTGCAGCAACCCCTCAACAGTTTTGTCGATTCTCGTCTTCAGCCCGAGGAGCATCTTTAATGGATTCCAATTAGACTCGATGCGGTTCGTAGCTGTGTTACACGCGGTAAAGTGTTGTCCTCGAGCGAAATTGGACCACATACCCCGGCAAGAGTTCTAGTTTTTGTCAAAGTAGGTGAAGAAAGCCTGTCTTTTGTTGGTTGTGCAATAACCCTTGTGGTCGCTGTAAGCAGTGTCGTAAGCTTCCTGTGTCGGACTAACGAGCAGCACGACATAAGTAAACCAGTTCTCAAGCCGGGTTGCTCAAATGATAAGTACCTCTAAAGAAGCTTTGTCATCAAAATGAGAAGATCCTCGCGTTGTCCAGTCTTGAGCCGGTATACTGGCCTCTGCACTGCCTTCTTCCAGAAAGAGATGGCATGGAACTGGCAGAGCAATATCGTTGCGTCCGGGAAACACTCTATGTGAGCCCGCCATTCGACAAAGTCTTTGTCAATGACCACGGTTTTCACTTGTTGACAGCACGGTTTTTTTCGCTTGAATTACTCGACAATGGTTATAATTGTGACCGCCTGCTCATCGAGACTTAAGAAATCGACAACAGGGAAACCTCTACATGTAGCTGTCGTGACAACCAAGCTCCCTACATATGAGCACCAAACACGCATCCAGGTTAATCAGTAAGGTTGCTTTATGAACACTAGGGTTGCTGTAAAGGTTGTTTTAACGGTTGCTTTAAAAAAAAGGTACCAGGGTCAACGTACCCAAGTGATACCAGCGGTTGTTCGCCCCATGAGTGAAGTTCATCGCTAACGTCTCGCCCCATCGCTCAAACATTAATTATTGAACCTTTGTCAGCATGACGATGCCGCTAGTGACCTCCATCTGGTCCTGAATGACGAGGAGATCACTCCCTTCCCTGCAACATGTCTTTATATCGATGGTTCGCCTGTGCTCGGCCCCATGATGCTGCGTATGAGGTTTCGTGTCTGCTGCGGTGTCACTTTGCAGTCTATATATCTCAAACAGAAAAGAATTAGCACCACACTATCGATAGGCTATTACCATTTTCCATAACGCACCGATGCGATCATTCAGGAAATTTGTAATGTGTGCAGAGGACACGCGGGCATCAACCAAAGTCTTCACGTCCTCGATATCGTGTTCATCGAGTGGCAGCGTCTTTGTTGTGCGATACGATGAAGCTTCAGTCTGGGAGGTAGAATGCGTGTGCGTATGGTTCTTAACATCAAGTCCATGAGAAAGTTAGTGCTATAAGACAGACAGATCGGTGAGCCTCGCTTTTTCTCGTACCTCGTTTCGTATGACATTCGCATACGTGTTGCTCACTACCCGTGTTACAGCGGCAGTTAACCGCGCTTGGCACCCGCAGAATCGTGATTTGCGGTTACGATGACCCTTAGATCGAGATTCTTGTGAAACACCATGTGTACAGCGATAGGTTTTGTACGTCCACTCAAAAGCAGTAGGCATTTGATCATCATGCACCCTGTAAATCAACAAGAAACACGAGCACGCTCAATACAAAATGCCAAAAAATAGAATTAACAAATACAAACAGCAAACCGCGTACTTGTTGTAAAGATCCGTCTTTTCAGAGCTTCGCACACGAAACTTCAGGCTGTACTTCACCTTGTACTTCTTAAATTCACGCTCAAACACACTCCACGACTCCAGTGGACCAGACGAACATGACGGCACAGTATTCTTAATCTTGCCTCGTTCGCCGACCAGTGGCTGCACCTCTTCTAGGTGCGCACTCGCACGCATCCGTGGATTGTATTCCTTAACGTTTTTATCATGCCCCCTATCCCCTCCGTTGGATGGTTCGCTCAGTGTTTCCAGCTTCCGTTGCTTTGGTAATAATCAATCATCTTTTAAGACAGACATGTGAGTTGTTAACAATCAGCAGCCTTATTTTCAGCAGCATTAGCGAAATGTGCGTACGGTGTGTGTCGGTCGCGCGTTTCTGGTTTCCAGTATTCTGCATACCCGCTTGCTTCTAATGCCGTTTTGGAAATGAGCGGCTCGAGTCGTTCGTACTTAATGAGAACGTTTTGAAAGATATTTAAATTACGCCTGGTAATTAAAAAAACCATTAAAAAGCAACCATAAACATCTATAGCGATCCAACATGTCTCAGATTTACGGTCCACCGCGGAAGGGGCGTCACGACGTTCTCTCCTGCGTCCACTAAGCTACCCTCTTCAAGCACTATTTCCTCCCTCCTCACCCTTGGGATAGGATTCCTATTATTATTATCGAATCCCCCAAGATCGCTTCAAATGGTTCGCTTCACCGCTCTTTCCTCGCTCCAGCAGCGCGTGAACCGCGTGCTTGTCGTTGGGTCCATCGAGACGCTACAGTCTCAGGGCTCCACCGACAGTTTCTTGCAGCAGACGCTCGTCTCCGCCTCGTCCAGCGCCGTCCAATTCAATTCCGGGGCGAATCCGCTTCTGCTACAACATGCATTGGACACGCTCAGCCCCAGCGCAGACAGCGGCGCTACCTCTGAGGTCCTCTTGGCTCGTGATACGGGAGCCGACGCTCTCCACGTGACGCTACACGCTCTACCGACGCAAGTCTCGCGTTCCAACAGCTTGGCACGTCCTCACTCCATCGCGAGCTTCGTTAAGAGCCACAACAAGCTGGTGACCAAGAGAGGCCAAGACCTCAGCAAGGACGAGTCGGTCCTCGTAGTTCTCATGCTACCAGGCCACACTGACACGTGGTTCGCTGCTGGGGCCGCAGTGGCGCGTGGCGTGCCACTTTACGAGCACAAGCTCAAGCGTAGCAATGCTCTGCCCAATTCCGAGTCCCACACGGAAGCAGACAAGCTCGAAGTGGTGTACCAAACCCCATTGACTAGTGACGAATCGCTGCTGGTTCAACACACCGCAAACGCGATTCAATTGGCCACGAGGCTGGTGGACGCTCCCCCCAATGAGCTGCACTCGGATGCGTTCATCGCAGAGGCGCGCGCTGTCGCAGAGCGCACCAACTCGAAGATTTCGGTCATCCAGGGCGAAGAACTACGCGAAAAAGGCTTCGGAGGCATCTACGGAGTCGGCAAAGCAGCCACTCACAAACCAGCGCTCGTGTGTTTGAGTCACGTGCCTGAGGGAGCTGCAACGGACGCCAAGGGCGTTGCTATGGTGGGTAAGGGCATCATCTTCGACACGGGAGGTCTGTCCATTAAGACGGGCGGTATCATGGTCGGTATGAAGCGCGATATGGGCGGCGCAGCGTCGCTATTGGCTGCATTCGAAGCTGCGTGTCTTGCCAAAAACACGACGGACACGACGCCACTTCATGTGGTTTTATGTATCGCCGAGAACTCGGTGGGTCCAGATTCCACACGTGTCGACGATGTGCTCGTCATGTACTCGGGAAAAACTGTGGAAGTTAATAACACAGACGCCGAGGGGCGCCTCGTACTGGGTGACGGTGTCGCATACGCTGTGAAACATTTGAACCCGAAGGTAGTCGTGGACATGGCTACACTAACGGGAGCGCAGGGCATCTCAACGGGTAACCGTATTGGCGCCGTCTATACGAACGACGAAGATCTTGAGGCTATGGCAGTCAAAGCTGGCAAGATCTCTGGCGACCTGGTGCACCCGATGCCGTACGCGCCAGAGTTCCATCGTCTCGAGTTCAAGAGTAGCATTGCTGACATGAAGAACTCGGTGAAGAACCGAGCCAACGCTCAAGTGTCGTGTGCGGGGCAGTTCATCGCCAATCACTTGGGCGACTTTGAGCACACAGGCAAGTGGCTTCATGTGGACATGGCGTACCCAGTATTCACGGGCGACGACGAGCGCTCGACCGGGTTCGGTGTTGCCTTTATTCAGTCGCTGCTGAAGGAGATTAACGGTGCTGGCTGGTAAAAACAAAAGCTGAGGGTTTGGTAGAGTGTTTGGTCGCTTAGCATTTAAAAAAAGTAATGGAATGACACAAAAGCAAACAAACCTCTTAGTTATTATTATCACTACTGACCATAAAAACACTAAAGTTTTATGACTGACCGTAAAGGACACAACAAAGATCGTACGACACGTTGGTTATTCCATCAAGTAGACCGTTGACGCCCTACACGCTCCTCGGCTATGAAGATTCTCGTTTTGCTCACTAACAAATTCCTCACTCACAGATTTCGTCTACCCATGCTATACCTTTCATCCAAAAAATATATATCTTGAAACCAATTAATACAATACTGGTCCAGTAAAATAATTGATTATTGGACCTGGTCGTATTGCAGTGATTATTATTGCCTGTCAAGGAAGGTCTAGTTTTATCAGGCTTACAAAGTTTAAGTCAAATACAGGCAGTAATGCATTACGGTACTGTGATATTTTCAAAATAAAAATTGTTTATGCGATCGAGCATATTGTAATGATTATTACGGCATAAAACGTTTTGCAATCTACTTCATCTACTACTATTAATAGAAGTCTTTTTTTGTTATTTTCCGATCCCTGTACCTTACTTATTCCGGTCTTTGCGGCTTTCGAGCTGGTACAATGGCTCGACAAAAGCGAGACGCCGCGGGACGAAGGGGTTGCCGTGCGTGAATGCGATATTTGTGAAGGATGCAAGTTGTTTAAAGATCAAGAAGCAAACATTAGCTGTGCGACCGGAGGCTGTCTTCACGAATGCTGCCACACGCTTGCGAGCGCTGCTAAAACCTTGAGCTACAGTAATGAGGTTTCAAAGCCTGGCATCTCTATTGGCTGCTTGATAGAGCACTTGCCAACGGAATCGCGGCTTGGAAAAATATTGAAGCTAGCATCGGAAACAACCATGAACTGGCTGGACAAAATGCAGTGTTTGTATCTGGCCGCTTGAATTTACTCTTCTTCGGTAATGTTACTTGCCATTGACAAAGATCGGAAGTACACATCCTAACCTGCAGAGCTTTTTTGTACAATCGACTTGTTTTCGTTAGACGCGTAATCTCGTAGAAATGCTGTGCTGTCTGGAGTCGTCAGAAAGACGTCGTGTCTGTTGATAGTTTGTTTACCATGCTTGGCTAAGAGGTAGACCTTGCCAGGCTTCATTGTTTGTTGTAGGTTCCGCGAAAATCTGAACTGCTTCTGACAAGAATACTACGTCCTCATAAAACTATTTTAAGTCTTCAACGTCGTCTTCAAGACCATTAGTCAATCAGCTTTCCGAGTCATGTCATACGGTAGTTTTATGGCCAGTCATGAAAACTTTGAAGTTTTTACGGTCTCCTCGGCCCTCAGTGCGGCCGCTCACATGCACTTCGTACACTGAGGAGGAGGCGAGGTGGCTCGCGCTATTGAAGGGGCTTGATGATAAAGAGTTAGGTGACGAGGTGGCTGGTCTTGTGTTCGCAGCACCAAAAGCTGCGCTTTGGCCAAGAGTTAAGGACTGGGTACTTGGCATAACAAACACTTCGACCAATTACCGGAGCCACGGAAGCGAGCGATCAAGCTCCGGGCATGAAGTTCCCATCGCCCTACACTACATCGGTGGATGGAAAGTGCTTCTACAAGGCGATTAATATTGCTTGCCTCGTTGTGGGTGCCCGTTTTCTTGTTCATCTATCGCTCATCAAGGAATTCGAAGATATCCAAGAAGCCAAGGGCCAAAAGGAGGAGTGTATGTGGCAAATATCAATCTGTTCTTGGCCTTCCGACAGTACATGAGCGTCGGGCGCCACTTGCGTACGATGTGTTTCAAAGGGAACGTTGACCTCTTCGGTCAACAACGTGGACGGTCTCAGGAGTTATCTGCTTCAGCCTGGTGTTAACGTCGTTGCGGTGACGGACGAGAGAAGACGCAAGCTGTTTTTGTATTGCGGTCGTACGGGGACAGTCCGGAGCGCAGCGTCTTCGACCAGTGGTACGAAGGTGGGGAGGGCCAAGAATACTACGAGGAGTCTCTGGCAAACTTAATGTGGATTCGTCGGTGCAACTTTATTCGACGCTTCGAACGTGTGGGCACGGTATCGCGGAAGAGAGCTATAACGAAACAAAAGAAGGTAGCGTGGAGGCAGGAATAGTGTCTCCTTTTGGCGAAGAGGTAGTGTGAAGCGTAACTCGCGTTGGCACACAGAAAGAAACTTTCGGTACTAAACGTTTACGGTACTCAACCAAAACCACGGTACTTTAAGATGTACCGTGACCACCGTGTCTATAATAAAAGTACCAAAATTGAAAAGACAGTAATGTGGCCGGCAGAACATTACAGTAAGCGATATATTCCAGTCATTTGGTATACACTTGACTATAGAAGACGAACCGCTGAGTTTGTCACAGCACATTTTACTTCGCCATGGACTCTTGCGCTTGGGTCTATTTATAATGAAGTAAAAATAAGCAAGTTGAAGAGTATGCTTGGTTACGGTAGGGACTAGAAGGTGAGGAGCGTCACGTGCAAGATGAGTGCTTCCTGAGGAGCCACATGGGAAAGAAACTGCGCGCCAGAGTTTGGAGCTACAAGGATTCTGGACTTGACGAGGAAGATGGCGACGAGGTCGAGCTACTTGAGCTGTGCGTCCAGAGAGGAGATTTGCGCAGCGCCTGATTCGCTGTTATTAAAAACGCGCTAGGCGAGGATACATTCAGCACTTGGAGGCTACGAGGGGGGAACGTAATGAAGTGCGACAACGAAATCTACGTAACTCCCAGCAAGCTACTTTCAACGCTGTTTTTCTTGAGCAATTCATAAAGAACATTGGGGAGGGGGCTCTACCATCTCCCTCAGATTCAGAAAGAAATACAGAAAACTAGATGACTACTGTAGGCGATATGAATATATGTCGACAAAGCTATTTACAATTAGCTCTACTCGTGGGAAAGTGCGTGACCAACCGACCTTACCTCTTGCGACTTCTGTTGGCAAAGCGCTTCTTGATTTGCTTTTCACCAGGAATGGGCTTTCCTGTTGCACGTACTGTGGCCACACAGCCGGTATTTGTACCACGACCGACACGAGCAAGCATTGTCCTGCATGTCGACCCCACCCCACCCCACCCCCAATCGGCTGTTCAGAAGTTTCCATCCGATGCTTGTCCTTTATTTCTCCGTATTCGTGCCTGGTAGAGGTGGTCGAGGGGGCGAACACGCTCGTCACATAGGCGATGTGTATTTTGCTTGGACCACCAAGCATATAATCCGACCCGTGCTAGTGCGACTAGATGACGCTAAGCCGGCCATGTTTTTGTAAATACTTGTGGTGATCTTGTAGTTCTCTGTTCGGCTTTGATTCAGTAGCGAATAAAAACGTGCCTCTTGACCGGTGCCGGCACATCAGAGTGCGTAGCGTTGCGAGTGCTACCAGCTTAGTCAGTTTTCTCAGGGTGTCGTCCCTCTTGATCGCGTTGTAGAGCTACTCAACGGGGTTGTTTGGCGTCGCAAATCCTGTCGGCATCCTCAGTTGCTGAATGGAGAATCGATTCATTGCTTCTTAAAGTATGTCGCAGAACTACTAAGTACAATATACGCTCTTCATACCGCCAGAGCAGCATCTTTACGTGTGTCATCCTCAGCACCATCACGTGAGTAGTGCATCAAGTACAGGTGCTTGATCACCAACGATACTACTTCCATTGGGAAACTTGAGACACGGTCTCCCACGCTCTTGACGACGTGAAAAGGCACATCAAGTGCGTCAAAGCTCCGTTGCTGCTGCTGCATCGCTTGGAAGACGTGATATGAATTGTACTGAGTCTTATCTGCGTCGGCCATTTAGTAACGAATTTTGAGGTACTCGCCAGTTATCACCTTGAAAATGTCGAACCAACAATTGAGCGCTGTGTTTATGAGATCCCCAGTCTGTTGGATGTCACAAAGATCGCCATGGGGTGGAACGAAAGCGAATGGTTCAAAAAACGATAAAGAGTAAGGGGTGATCAAACTGATCGAGTTTGTAAGTCGTGTCAATATGCAGCACATACATTGCCACGTGGCGAAGCATTTTGACCATGTACGGTGTAGCCATTCCATTTATGGTTGGGTCATTGTCAACGTCCTCTCCAATAGCAGGAGCTCCATCGTCGTTGGCCCTGTACCCAAATGTAGGCGCATCGCCATCCTGCGTGTCTGGCGTAAACTGAGTCCTCATCACGAGCTTCTCCATATATTTTGTGTAATTAGTCGCGTTCAGGGATGCTTGTCTAAAATGTCCGACAAATGTCGGTACTTGTCGCAGTACGGGAGATTCTCCCATTGTGTAGCCAGCACGTCGCTGTAGATACGATTTGGCTTCATTCTTAATGAAATCAGCGGCACTGCGTACACTTCATTTCTCGTGTTAGCATAGGTCTTTAAGGAGAGGCAAAATCAGTGAGGTGGCGTCCGTGCTGGTCGATGTCGCTGATCTGGGATTCTTCCCGAGTCTAAATTCTCAGCATTTATCTCCTAGAACTGCATCGCACGTCGCAGATGTACACTAAATCAGTTGGTATATCATTTTGTCGTCAAGCACCGTTGTCAGCGTACCGCATGGCTTGTCCGCGTCCGGAAGGACCTACACCGATCCAGCCAGCGGTTGACGTCTAGAGTGTTGAGTGTCTTGGCTAAACTTGCCCGGACATACTGAGAGGTCATTCATGTAGCGCCTGCCTGTCGTTTTGTCCTTAAGCGTTTATTAGTGAGCGTATTTGAACCAATCACCTCGTTTACAACTAATCTTTTATTTGCGTCTTTAAAATGGAGGTCCGATCCTGGAATTATGCAAATTGCTATCGCTCTTTGTATTTTGTTGCTGTGATGTATCTGAATATTCATCTGATTGATAATGCAAGTGTTTTAGATTTTGTTTCGCGGGTTCTTGTCTGGGCTGCAGCAAAAAATAATCTTACGTCTCAAATTAAGCAAGTTTCGTCAGGATGTATGTGAATCCGTCAGTGTGATAGCACGTGTAATACTTGTTGGGCGGTCAAATATTTAAAAACAGAGTATTTTTGACTCTCAAACATGTAAAGCTTTACATCTATACTGTACACTGCAGTTCGGGTGTACAGTATACAGTATTGATAACTAAGGTTCGGTTTGAGCAACTGCAAATCCTTCTAGATGATTACGTGGTTTTTTCTATCCACTTTCTATACTAGAGGGATATGTCAAATAGCCAATTTCCATTTTCAGACAAGCCTCATGACTTGTCTTTACCTTCGCAGCATTCAAAAAAATACACACGCGTAGCTACGCATGTGGGATGAAGCATTAGATCATTTGATAGCACGCCAGCGTAAAGGTATTCTTTTTTTTCAACAGGCTGCATAGCGGCAGCATTATTCAAAAATCAGAAAATAAAACGACACATGTATATAACCATCGGTGTGAGAACGCGGGTGCAGAATTTTTTTCAAATACTTTAATACATGGCCCTAGAAAAATTGAAAGAGAACATCATTTGAATCTTTACAATGATCTAAGCTTGCAATTGCGCGCTTGGTGGCTCCGATTTTCACTTGACGCTGCTGCTTTCACGATTAAAGACCTTGCGATAAGACCTATCAAGCAAGGACCAATAGTCATGGAATTAGTGCAACGATATAACGCACGCTTTATGCATCAGAAAAATATCCGAAGAATGTTTGATTTGAGCATATGTGCAGTCCAATGCTCCGATAAGATTGTGAGGCCACAAACTTCTTGTACAAATGCAATCCTATAAAGGAATTGCTGCTTTGACTGTCTGGAGTCAGCATTGAAAAGCCAACGGTACAATCATGTACTGTTTCTTATTCGCGATAAAGGATTACTTAATAATTCAAAACCTCTCCAAAACGGTCTTATATAATCGAAAATTGTCCTAGGTAAATCATCTCATGTACGAACGATTCTATCTGATCCCAAACCCCCTTCTGACAGTACCCTAAGCCTTCTTCCTAGAATCTATGCTCGCACCGCACACATGCTTCAGCCTGTACACTTTCCTTGCAAAAAACTGAGCCATGCTTTTATTCTATTAAAAAAATGAAAATAGTGATGCTTCAAATCAAAAGTTACGGACGGAGGACTAATGAGCTGAAGGTTTGTGGTTTTACCAACAAGGGTTCATAATAATTCAACTGTCGAAATTTTGCAAACCTAGGCTTATAATCATTTGATCAAGTCTTGCAGTCGGAGGTCACCTTATAGAACCGCCAGTGATGTCTATAACCATCACTGTCGGTCGATCCGCAACATCGATTTGACTGCGTTGAAGGTAGGAGGAGTGAGTGAATTCTAACTCGTTCTGCACACCAAAGTATCGGCGGTGGCTTGACTCATTTTACGCAGCCTTGCACTTTTGCCAAACTTTGTTTGAGCACATTGAATTTACTAACCACGGTACAGTTCGTATCACCTCTCACTTCGTAATGATTATGAGCCACGACCACACTGATAGTTTGGAGCTAAAGGCCAAAACAATTTTACAACAGCAATTTCTGCCACTGGCACATAATCACTCTCTCACCAGCGTAGCGTTTTGGACTGGTGCACCGGTAGATAAGCTTTCACTTCCCAATTTCCTTTCCAAGCACCACCAGCACCAAGTTCGACAAATCGAAAAATGCGACTAATTTGTTTTTAGTTGTGGCCGCAACCATGCTAGCCAGCTACGAGGCGGCACCAAACACCTCGGTCTTGGGGGGGGGGGCGTGAGATGCTGAAGTTGGACAAGATCGGCAACATCGAGCCACTAACGACGGGGACCAAACGACTGTTACGTGATTCAAACGGCCAGGTGTACGATGATGACGACGACGGAAAAAAAAGAAGAGAGGGCTTTTAACCTGGCCCAAGAGACTGGTTTTTCGTACGTGATTCAAAAGTTTCGCGCCCTTGCCGACAAAAAGAATGCAGACATCCCCAAAAAGATTCAGAAGATGGCGCAATCCGTGGAGGAAGATCCCAAAGTCTTACAGACCATGTACGAGTTGTATAAAAAAGAGGGAGAAAGCTACCTGCGACATCAGCTAGAGAGACTAGCGAGCCAGCGAAAAAAATTGAACTAGAATCAAACTAGGTTTTCTGATGGCTGAAAGCATCGCCAGGCAGCGAAAATTGGGATACAAGTGCTAACTCGAACAATGTAACGCACTTGTGACTGTTAATTTATCAATGTTTTCATTCTGTATAGGCCGTAAACCTCATCCATGACATCTACTTAACTAATCAACCACAACAGTTGAACAAGGTCGTGTTTGGTTTTATTCATTGGCGTGGAGTGTACTTCGCCGCAGTTGCTGCGAGGAGGCAGCAATTCTACTTTAAGAGTTTGTTCATGAGTACTGTCTCACTAAACGCCATGGTGTAGGTATGTCAGCTCTCTACAGACCAAGATACGTGCTGCTAGTTTTGGCAGTGCCATTGTCTACTTTTTAGGACAAATTTGGCAAATCGATACTCTTTCATAAAAACGCTTTGCTTTGTGGTACATATAAGCGAAAGAGTTGGGCTGATAGCGAGTTACGCACGCTTCTTGGTTATATCATGCGATTATAAAGAATGGTCCATTCGTATCTCGCCATGCGCGACTCCGAGATACCACGGACGGATCTGAAAAGCTACGCTGCGTTCAAATAGGCGTCCGCTTTTGTGTTCCCAAAAAAGTGCCCAAAAGTGCCCAAACGATTTAGCATAATTTGCTACCGATTAAAACGGACCATGCTACGCTTGGCTGGGAGCCCTTCGGCGCCACGGCTGCAATATAAAGATAGAGTGTACTGGAGTGTGCAATGTGCGGCTCGCAGGTGAGCTCGGCGCTGGGCCTGCCTCCACAAATCGCCTTAGTTGATCGAGACTGTTTAGTATTATCGGAGCAGTGAATTACATGGTTGTAAATTATTTAAAGTAACGGGACGCAGTGTTTTGGGCACCGTTATACATGTAGGCACGAACGGTTCGGTTATTTGTAGAAAATTATGCAAAATCGTTTGGGCACTTTGGGCACGTTTTTGGGCACTCAGTATATCTTCCCGCTAAAAACAATCTGTAAGAAAATGTATATAAATGGTGCTGCGTCAAACAAAATGATACTTACGAACCATTTAGACTTAAAGTTGGCCCATTGATTTTCGCACTTAACCGAAACAAAGACATTTATTGTATAATTCCATCGAAAAAACTGTAAAACTACCCTTATTCAATTGCTTTTAACAAGAGCTTTTAAATAATACTTGAATGTTTAAAATTGAAAAAATATTGAGTTCACAACACTCCTAACTGTATCGTCACTCAGTGGCTCTCAAGAAACGAATGAGCCAATAACAGGCCATAAAGCAAACTTAGGATGAAAGGAATAGACAAAAAATCACGCTAGCTCATGAACTGGTCAGGTCCATGAATTGGTAAACTACGTTGGGGGTACCTTGAGTTTTGCACATCGCGATTTTTGCTAGCGCTAATTGGCTGAAAACAGCTTAATTAAGCACCAATCAAACGGGATAGAAATAACAATTCCGCATCAAGTAGCATTTACTTAAATATGCAAATTCGCTTCAATTACCGAACCCGCTGTACATGAAAGTCTTTTACAGCATGACAACCGCTTCACTTTATTATCTCAACTGAATATCTATGCGCTTCCTCCTCCCTTCTTGTCAGTAATAGTTATTGCGAATGTACTGGTCTGAGGTGCGGCGATTTCTCGCGACCTCGTTGGCTAGTTGATGGTTCGCGTACAGCGCCTGCAACGCCTTCATGCGCTTAGCGTTGAGGTACAAGGGCCGCCCACGACGCACATTAATATCTTCTTCTCCAAACATGTCGAGATACGGCGACCCGAAGTAGGAGCTCCTGGGACCGAACACTAGCAGCACGGACGACGAGCGCATGAGAAAGAACAGGCCGACGCCCGCGCCGCACGTGATGGCGTGGTGTGTGCAGGCGCCCATCCCGTCACTGCGTCGTCGACAGCACTCGGTGCCAGCACACAAAACCTGCTCGCACACGAGACAGATGGCTGGGTTCTCCACTGTCTTCCACGTCTGCTTGCACTTGCTCTTGCCCAGCACCTCCGAGTGCAGATCCGTGTACGACGACGCCAGCTTGACCAGCCGGATATTCGCGTAGTGGAACAGGCTTCGGTGCTGCTGCACGTCCGGCTCCAGACGAAGAGGGAGCTTGGGCATGTCTCGTAGATTTCCACGTGCGATCAGAGCTTCCCGCTCCGCACAGTCGTCTCGTGTCGTGAGTTTCTCGAGCTCAGCGATCAGCAGAGTCGCGTGGCCGTGCTGCTTGTAGCGAGTCTGCAACTCGTCGGACAGCGTAGCACTGGTAGCGCGCACACGAAGCTCACGCGCAGCACGTAAGAGATACTCGACCAGCGCCTCATCCGCCAGTAGCTGCGTGATTCTAGGCAGTCCCAGTTGCTGACACATGTCGTGGTAGTTGGTGCTGAGACGCAACGAGCTCACAAAGTTGGCGCTCCACGACGCGTCGGGGTCCTGTTCGCCTCGGAAGAATGCACGACACAGCAGCGTCACTTGCCTCATGAACGCCAGACACGACGACTTGAAGAGCAGTTGCAGTTGTCGTCCCTGTGGAGCAGCACGTCGAGTGGCATCGCGAACCAAGTCCACGCCAGCTTCTTGAGCGAGACGCGCCATCAGCGTCTCCAGTCCACGCTGCATCTCTTCCGTTTGTTCGGCAGACGCGTCATCGCACGTCGCAGCGCGTCTTCTCTGCGCCTCCTTCTGCTCGTCCTCCACACAGTCGTCTTCGTCCTCGGCCTCCATCTGAGCCAACTGGATCAGCACTTGAGCCATGTGCAGCACACACAGAGAGCGGATCGTGAGCAGAATATCCGCCTTGGTCGTCAGCATGCTACTGCAGATAGCGACGCACAGGTAGAGCAGATCCTGGCCCAGCACGGGCTGTCCTAGCTGCAACGGCGGTCCCTGCGTCAACGTCTCGAGCCACTGGTCAGAGGAGAGTGCAAGGCGAAGATTCTGCGCGATCGGGAAGCACAGACTGTCGTAGAATCCTCGTCGGCGATTGGTGAAGAGCAACGAGATTCGTCGTAGCGAGCGTAGCAACACGTTCAGCTTGCTGTCGTCCTTGGGTGTGAACTGGTCCAGCTGCGGGTCTAACGCTTCGGGTAACGACACGGCCACGCGCGTGTTCAGACACGGCGTTGCAGGGTTCAAGATGTTGGTGATCCTCAAGGACGAGAACGACGACGCAGCCGTCGCAGGGCCCGTTGCTCCATTCGGTCGAGCAGCGTTCGCTCTCCAACTGGCTCCTTTGAGCACGTTCTTCGACGACGCTACGTACGCTTCGAGCGAGTAGATGGCGGACGAAATGCCGCTCAACTGCGTGCTGGCGATCGTGGACGCCACCGACGACCAGATCAGGTGCGTCAGTTGCGCGCCGGTAGAGAAGAACCCTTTCTTGAGCGCGCTCATGGCCGTGGCCAGGTGCGTCATCTCCGGCTGGAAGCGCAGCATCGTCTCTAGGAACGAGACGGCGAACTGATTCATCGCACGGATGTCATCTTGCCGTTGCAGACGCGTCCGTTCGTCTCCGTCCTCCTCGTCACTCATGTCCTCCGTCGTGCGGGGGCTATCGCTTTCCAGTCGCGTCGGCAGTCCCACGTGAGAGCCACGACAGGATACTGGACGTGTCCTGTTTCGACTGGAACACGCGCTCCATGGCGTCGCGGTCGCGCTGCTGGTCTGCTGACGTCAACGGCGAGCAGATCGGGAGACACGGCACGAGCATGGAGCTTAGAGCTTGACACAGCGGACACAGGAACTCGCCGAAATGCGCGTCGAACGCAATGTTCGTCTGGCTGTGCTCCAAGTTGAACCGCGACTGCGCGCGCACCGACTCAAAGTACTTTTGCCAACAGTGCAAGTGCACAGCGTGGCCACACAGCGACAGATGAACTTGCGGCGGGAACGTCGTTCCGAAGCTGTCGCTACTCCCGTCAGTTGCAGTCTCCACGTCCTCGGGGAGGTTCTCCAGCGCATGAGCATTGACGCGACTCATCTGCGCGTGGCCAATGTACATGACAGGCTCGTCCTTCTCCTTCTGCGAGCAGATGATGCAGTCAGGCGGCGGCGGCGGGCGATACACGATCGCATGTCCAGGGACGTCGTGGCTGAGGTCGTCCAAGTCCACCCCGAACTTCCCGGAGCCGCTAGAGTCGTCGTCGTCCGAGTCAATGTCGTCCAGATCGGCGAACGCGCTGGACTGCGCGAACGCCTTCTGACGTGCCATCATGGCCGCGATGGCGCGTTGCTGGTGCAGTTTCTTGAGCTCCGTCTTGGACATTCCGTTCTCCGCCACCAGCTCCTCGTGCTTCTTTATTCCGCTCCAGACTTTGAGCTGCACGTACGTGTGGATCGCGCAATCCAGAGCCGCCAACTCGTTCAAGATCCAGTAAATCGCCGAGATGGTCGACTTGGACGTCTCGAAGTCGTGCTTGACCATATCCTTCGACAAAGCCACTAGCAACGCCACGATACTCAGCTCCTGTACACTCGTATCGCCTTGCTCGTCACTCATCTGCACGTCGTCGTCACGAACCATCGGTTGTCTTTTGATGCGCTTCTTACCTCGAGACGCAGTGTCCGATTCTTCAAACGCCTCTGGCCCATTGCGTAATAGCGCGAGCGTCTGACGTCTCTTGCTCTCGGACAACACGACCTCGTTCTCTTGGGGCAACGTGGCTCCTCCAGCGCCACGCTTAAGCACCAGCACAGCCAGATTGATCAAGTGGATAGCACGCAGCAAGACCATGACGTTGGTTCTCTTAACGCCAGGCGTGCAGCTCGTGCCCTCACAGTGGCCTTCAGTAGAACAATTCGCGTCCTCCAGCACAAGACGCAAGATGCCCAGCAATCCCTTCTCCAGCACGAGGAAGCGGACAGTCCCCAACGACACGTGCGGCGGCGGAGCTTGCGCCACCAACGGCACAGGCTGGTCCTCCACTTTCCACGTCTTGAACAGCGCCTCCTGTCTGGCAAACTGGGCCTTCTCATGGCTGGATCGACTCAAGTGGTAGAAGGACGGGTCGTACTCCTTATAGTACTCCTTCTTGAGAGTGTACTTGGTGGGCTCCATGGATCCGTCCCCCATACTGTCCCCGTCGCCGGCGCCGTCGCCCAGAGGAGCCACCATCACCGAGCGCTTCACTTGCTCGTCCGCCACTTCGTCCAGTATCCGCTCCAGTCTGGTAAGATGCTGCTTCTCCTGTCGAGCCGAAATGCCTCCGAACGGCGTTGACACGACAAACGTCGTCTGGTCCAGCAGCTCGGACAGCCGACACGGATGCTGGCTTAAGCGGTGGATAATCTCGCGACGAAGTACCGTGTCTCTCTGCTCAATAGCGTCCAGCGGAGGCGTCAGCTCGGTGACGATCCAGATCAACCGCAGCAGCGCCGCCTCCAGCACGGCAACCAGTTTCTCGTCCTCTGCAGCGCTGGGCGGCGTCTCGCGGGCTGAGATCCCGGAGCTCTCGTCGCCAGCGGTGCGTACATTTGCCCACGTCAAAAGCCACTCGGACAGCCCGAAGCGGTCGAAGAAAACGGTCAGAAACGTGGGGAACCCCACGATCGTCGCGCTGATCTGCACCAGGAACAGATCCAAGTCTCGCAGCTCGCTGCACCACGGCGGACTCGTGTAATTTAGCATCTGGCGCTGCATATTCTGCCCATTCCGGATCCACAGTCCACAGCTGATCTGCGCGCACAGCACCAGCGAACGCAGAGGAAACTCCAGCACTCCGTAGATCAGCATCTTCTTCTTGTGTTCCTTGGCGTCATCGCCGAGCACCTTGGTCATCGAGCGTTCCAGCAGCGCGCCCCAGTCGGTGATCCACGGGACAGCACTCCCCGGCGCCGGTGGCGGGCCGTAGTACAGACTTTTCAGAAGAAAACTGGCCAGCAGACCGTGCAGCGGGTTGTGGAAGGACACTGGCTGCGTAGACACGTCATACTTGACGACCTTGTCCGATGAGCCCAGCAGTCTTCCGCACGGCGAGATGTAGAGCTGCAGTCGCGTTGTAGTCATCCCCGCTCTGTCCAGTTGATCCCAGAAGCCTTCCAGCATATTAAACACCATCCGTTCGCGATCGCGATTACGCGTGTCTGTGTCTGCAGCTTCGTGGTAGCGCAGTCCCTTGGAGATGAACGTGAGGATCTTACTCACGTTGGCATGGAACGCAAAGGCCGTAAGCCACGACTGCGTCTCGTACGTCACGTGGGCACGTCCGTCTTGTATCCGCACTTGGGGGTCCAGTCCTTGTACTTCTGCCAGCGCATCCAGCCATTTGGCCAGCAAGTCCGAGCGTAGCAGCAGCGCACTGGACATCGCCGGGATGCCCAACACGTAGCCAAAATTCTCGATGACGAAGTGGTATCGCTTGAACTTGAGCAGTGGGTGGTCGCAGTCCAGTGTGTGGTGGACACCCTGGTGCTGCTGCGGCGGTAAAGAAGGCGTGCGAGCCATTTCCAGCGCCGTGTTGATCGTGTCCAGTAGCATCTCCAGCAGCCCGAGACTCGCCAAGTGGTGGACGATAGACGGCGTCGTGAGGATCTGCACGCCGTACTGGAACAGCGATTCCTCTCTCGTGCCCACGCCACAGAAATATTTCAGCATCATGCGGTTGTACACCTTAAGGAACACGATCGAGAACTGCAGTTTGGGGTCTTTATCTCCCTGTAGCTTCAAGTACAGCTCGTACAGCTCCAAGACGATGTCTTTGCGGAAGTACGGGTCCGACAGGAACATGACCTGGATCGGCTCCTTGCTCTGGCCGGTCGTAGCGAACAGTTTGTCGCAGAACAACACGTGCAGCTGCTTGGACAACGAGCAGATGGCCTTGACCCACTGCGTCACGCGCAGCAACACGTCTTCGTCGTGGATAAATCGGTCCTGCACCACACACACGTGCCAGCCCTCGCTCTTGAGCGCCTGCATGAGCGTCAGCGCGTCTCGTAGCGTCAAATTCCTGGCCACAATCTCCGACCCGTTCGAGTCGATCGCCCGCACCAGATCCTCCGCGCTCGGGATCCGCTTCTGCGACAACGAGCGGATTAAATCTTCGTCCGAGTGGACGTCGTCGTTGCAGATCCTCACGTGGAACTGCCGCTCCATCCTCTGCGCGTCTTCCATCGTGCATCCCCGTTCCTGCACTTTCAGCCGCAGGGCGTGCAGCGTCTGACGCCCCTGCGCGTCCACGTACTCCGCGTCAAACAGCTGCATGGACTGCTTGGCCATGTCGATGCAGAACGCCACAATGCTCGTAAATAACGCGTCGGCCACCTGTACGATCTCCTCGGGCAACAACCCGCCACTCTCGCTACTTGTATTGGCTGTTGCGTCCCCGTCTTGGTGGCCGTGGTGCACGCAGAAGCCCTCGGGAGCCCACGCTTCGCTGTCGCCACAGTCGCAGACGCCGCCTGGACTGGTGCGATGGAAAAAGACGTCGTGGCCCTCGTGGTTGCCGTTCTGGAAGCATTTAAGACACAGCACGCACGTTTCGTCCGACTGACACGTCTTGCAGTTGAAGACGATGTCGTTACGCTGAAATAAGTAGCCACAGAGCACTTGGGTGCTGCTCTTGGGCTTGAATCGCTCCAAGAAGGCGTCTCTTGTGACTGGAGGCAAGTGACCATCATTCTGTAGTGCTGTAGTTGCTGGGATCATAAGGCGGTCGGCGTGCGCCAATAGAATGGCGTCCAGGAAGTCGCCGACGTGCTCCAGAGGTACCGGATTCGCCTTAATCTCGTCCCCAGGCGACGGTAGATGCCGTAATAGCGTCAATAACCTCGGCATTATGTCATAACAAATGGTATCTACGCTCTGGGTTTGAAGAAAGCGCTGAAGGCCAGTCGGGTTATCGATAATCGGCAGCGTAGACATGCTTCAACGTAGACAGTGTTTTCAAGCGCGTTACAGCAAGTTACGAGCCCGCAATGCAGCGGTTAGAGAGCCAAGACGATGAAGAACACGGTGAGCTACTTTGCCAAGCAGATGGACGCCGAGGGGGCGAGCTATCACCTCGACAAGTGACGCGGGCCTGACACTGATATTGTAGATGCGAAAATGCGGGAGCGCGACCAAAGGGAAGCACAATCTGTTCCTAGTCTAGGGATGTCATAAAACCGGTATTCTGCAAAAAGTCGCGAGGACTTTTCACCGGTATCTGTTATACTAGGATAGGACCCTCTCTCTAAAATAGGATCTTACGGCGATGTGACCGAAAATGTACCGAAATACCGGTATCCACGTCAACATCCATGTATTTTAACGGCGATCGGCAACTCCGATCCACGGCAACAACACTCAAGACTTCTCAACACACATGTCACTATCCTTAGCTGTAGACCTGGGCGCTGACCTGACGAGGCCACGTCGTGCGCACGAGCTCGGCGAATGGCGGGCCAGGCAACGTGACAGCGCGATTAGAACTCGAGCGCTTCCTTCTCGCCTTCTCCGTGGTCTGATCAGCGGCCTCGCCCAGCAGATCGCGCCGAATTGAGTAGTTGGCGTCGTCTACGAAGTCGCTGCTGCCTCGTAAGAGCAGCTGCACCTGCGCACTCGTGAGCTCTTTACGTCTCCACACACGCAAGTCGAACACCAGGCCACTGAAGCCGAACCAGCCGGAGAAATGCGGCTCTGGTTTGGCTGGTGCCAGGCCACTGATGCAACCGGCGCCAACGTTAACATGACGCAGTTTCTCCCAGTCGGCAAGCAAAGGACCCGCGTCCGAGACGCGCTGCTCTCCGTTCAAATACACAGTCAGCAGCTGCTCCGGCTGGTCGGTCCTGGAGAAGTTGGTGCAGTCGGACTCGGCGTCTCCGCCGTACGTCACTACGAGATGATACCAATGATTGGGGGACAGTTCACGCGCCACACAAATGGGCGTTGGGTGACGAAGGAACGAGCACCAGAGGTTCCCCATAGGGTCGATAGATAAGAGCTGCTGGTGGACGTAGGGCCACCCACTGGCGTCGCTGGTCTCCTGGAATGGCAAGTCTTGCGCGCCCAGTAAAATGCCGCCTAGAAACGTGTCTCGGTGTTCAGCTAGTGAGAACCACATCTCGATCGAGAAAGGGTCCGTTGCATTCCGCGTTTCGGTCTTGAAGTTGCCTTCATCTCTGCTGGTTGTGAGCATGTTACTCAATGAACCGGGCAGAGGAATAGCCGAGCCACGGTCACGCCAACGCGGGTCCATGGCAAGTCCTCGGAGCCGAAACGAGTCGGTGAGTAGCAGCGGATCACGCTTGAAGGAGACGTCCAGAGGTCGAGGCGAACTCTGGACGATAGCGCCGATCTGAAGACGATCGAGACCGCAGACGCTCTGACCGTTGATGGCCACGATGATGTCGCCCCGCTCCACGCGACCAGAAGCCTCAATCTCCCCGGCGGCTCCAGATTCCGCGCGTAGGAACTTGCTCACCACCACGCGGTTCCCGATCGAGTTGATCTTGACTCCCAGCCATTTCTGTCGGAGCTCTACGATCGCTACAGTAGCAGTCGGTGATTCAGGCTTCACTTGCATCGGTGATACCGGTAATTCACGTACGGGGATTCCAATGGCCGTAGGTTGAGTCACCGGTGGGTGGCCGGTTGGGCTACTCTGTCGTCGCACGAGTTCCGGTACATTCAACGCCGTCTTGACTGGCGTGACGAAGGGAGACGCTGTGACTCGATTGAGATAGTCGGCACTGGAGACTCGATTTAGCGGCAGTGGACGCGTTGCGTCGTCTTCGAAGTTCTTGTTATCTCCGTCACGCTCGCGTTCTTCTTCAGCCAAAGCCTGCAGCTCCTCGACCACCGTATTGATGTCAGGTCTTGCGGCCTGGTCGGAATCGCACATGGCTTCCACTAAGGACCACACATTCTCTTCCACTCCGACTGGAGGGGAGGGCATCTTGCCAGCCAAAACTCGCTCACGAACTTCCTCATCGGCCTTAAACCCCCACGGTAATTCCTCCGACAAGGCCTCCACTAGTGTCATACCGAACGCATAGATATCCGAAGCCAAATCAGCCTTGGGGTCGTCTCTCAGTAGCTCTGGCGCTTGCCATCTCAGCGATCCTGAGAAAAGCCTAGGAGCTGAGCTAGTCTCGTCTTGCGAAGGACATCGAGACAGCGAGAAGGACCGCAGATTCGCGAGTCTGGCTTGGCCATCATCACCAACCAGGATGTTCGCGCAGCACAAGTCGCCGTGGATGAGTGAGGCCTCGTGCAAGCTTTGCAGCCCAGTGGCGGCTTGCGCGAGTAAGCGGAATAACTGGCGTCGATGGTCCACCGACAGGTTTAAATAGTCCTCAAGCGACGTCACAGTGGCCGATCCCGGCTCCGGGGCCGCCCAGGGACTCACGAAGGCCAGGAATGGGTGCGAGCCGAAGGTAGACGCCCCTGCTAGCTGCAAGACATGCGGGTGGCACACCACATCACGCAGCAATTCCGTCTCTCGCTGCACCGCTTCAACGGCTTGAGACAAGGCGGCCTCCGAGTTGCCACTTCCAGGCACCAGTTGCTTGAGGAGAAGTTGCTGCACGCCACTCTTGCGCTGGCCTCGACTACGTAGCCAACTGGCGCTTGTGATCTGGCACCGCGGGCCTCCACGGAAACACGTGCTAGGGTTCTGCGCCACCTCGGCGGGCGACAGGAACCAAGACGACAGCACTGGCACCTGCACACCACAGACACGCACCAACCTGCGGAACAGCACACGTAACGACTCTTCGTGGTCGGGGAAAAGCTCCGCGCCGTCTCCTTTCTCCGCCTCGTTCGCTGCCTCGTTGCTGCTGGCGTAACTGTGACTTAATCTCTTCTTCTTTGACCGTCTCGTCACGTCCTGCACCTGCTTGAAGGCGAATTTGACCACTGCGATCATCTCGAGCTGCTCGTTGGCTGTGCTTTCAGCTGCTGCATCCACTTGCGCTCGAGCTGCAAGTTGCAGTGCTTGCTCCACGCATTCCAGCTGTTCTTCCCACTCCTGCGCCCAACACGCACTCGGGTCCACGTGCTCGGCATGCAAACTACGGAATGACGCGTCCAGCCACACGTGGAGGGAGCGCAACTCGCGCACGGGAGACGGCGCGACTGCCAGTCGGAACACTGCGTTCTCGGTCGCTGCGAGACTCTCCAATAGAAGCGTAAAGCGCGACAAGGCTGCGTCTACCTGTTTCGGCCACTGCAGCTCGGAATCGGTGGGGTTGTTGTCCGTTGCTGCCGGTTCTTGCTGTCGGAAGTGGTCGGTGTATCCGCAGATCGCCACGAGTCGTCCGAGCAGCGTCTCGCACAGCGGCCGCAGCTCCCACGAGCGCTCGCACAGCGTCTGCATCGCCATCAACGTCGGCTCCATCGCTGAGCCGCAGCTGGCGTATTCCGTTATGGAAGGATAGAGTGGCTCACAAGCGCCCACGTTGGAAGCGGAGAAAGAAGCGAGAGTGGCAGACAGATTGAAGGAGTAAGCGTGAGCTTATTAATAGGTGGGGACGCTGGCGGGGACACGTTCGCGTGGCTGACGGCGGCTCGGAATATGGAGCGGACACAGGATCAAAAGGTGGACTATCCGCATCGGTATATCGGTATTGCGAGTGGTGTCGAGCGGCTGTGAACCGATCTTGAAGCTGTGTTGCTTGCATAACCAGGTCATGGAGCGCAACATTTACTGTATTGCAATAATACCGGTATTCGTAATGCAGCGGTGCTGTCTTCATGGCATCAACACGCACAGCTTGACTTGCTTTTTGGTTAACTCTGTCTGCACTAAAACAATTGCGAGTACAGTAGTAGCCTACTGGCTTTGGCAGCAAGAGCGGTAATGCTGTTGATGCCGGAATACATCCAACGATCACTGCTAAAGGCGTACTTAGTGAGTCATAGGGGCCCCATACATGCTCATCACTTTTCACGCCATTTCAAAGGATACTGTAGGTATCATTTCGGGAGTTGCAGCACTAATCTTACCGGTATTCATCGTGTGCAAAATGTTTGTCCACCCCTCCCTATGTGATGGTTTAGTACTGCATCGCGTAATCCTTGTTCTTCGACTGTAGACCTCCCATCGCACAGATCGCTCTCGCCGTTTGTTGCTCAGCTTGACCACTTCAAGTCGGTTGCCACCTCTTCGTCAGTCTCTGCTCGACGTATCACAAAAGTACCGGAAAACGCACCCTCGGAATCGAGTGCGTGGAGTTTCTCTAGTACCGTGCGCAGCAGATCAAGCGACGAAGTCGTCACGTCCACACGGCGAGTTACTAGACTCGGCGCACAGGAGAAAAATTCACTTCTGTCGCCATCGTGCTCGTCGTCGTCTTGCGGCAACACCATCGCGGCCGCGCTCCTCAGCTTGTCACAGCACGCTAGCGAGTGCAATGGACTCCATGCAGATCGGCCAGACACCTCTACGTATGTGCGCGTCGGAGTCTCACGGTCTGTTCCCGTCACGTCGGTCTTCATGAGCGCAACGACGACTCGAAGGTGGTCGCTTGGATTCAATAGGGTTGCGTTCTCCGAGGCGTCGCTGACGCAGCGATGCGAGGCCAGGACGGCGACGCAGCTTGCATCACGGTTTGCACTGCTGTCCGCCATGTTGTCTGGGCAGCTTCATTGCCTTGGAGGGCAAGTAGCGCGTCTCCAAATGCAGCAGCCCACTTTACCGGCTCCAGCTTGGACAAGTTAGTCAGCATGTTGTATACCGCGGTAATAATGCGGCCAGACGTGACGTCGTCCGCTGTTGGTCTTGCCTCCTTAATGCTGTCAACGTAGTGCAGCACCAATCGCTCGCTGGTGAGATTAACCAACGTAGACAGACGACATTTGCTCGGCAGATCGTCGCTACAGCGTCCCAAGAGGACGGCGCGTAGCAGAGCAACCAACACGCTGTACGCCTCGACATCACAAGCCTCACGGCTCAGTTTCAGGAGCTGTTCGCACAGCTTCAACTGTGCAGCAGTGTTCACGACCGGATTGGTGCGTTCCTCTTGCCGTCTCGCCATTCGCACGCAGAAATCGGGTGTGTAGCTTGATAGAGTGCACATAGTGAAGTAGAATTGGTCGGGAGAACAAGAGCGGACGACGCGATGGACATTGCGAGTGTCTTCGAGCGCACTCAAAAGTTTCGTCATGAGCACTTCCGTCTCATCGGACGTAACATCACTTGGCAGCATTAAACACAGCTCGACAACCCTCGAGCTGAGGCCAGGAATCGTCGTATCGATCCGTTGCACTGCTTGCCGATCTTCAGTCCCGACAACCCGCGACCAAGCGTCAGCCACAGCGCTCATGCCACCGAAAACTGCGCTGCGCACGTCCTCCTGGATATTGTAGCTGAGTAAATCTAGAGCCGATGAGATCGTTAAACAAACTGGCGACAGCGCCGAGATCGTCTGTAGCGTGACAGCATTCAGAGAAGCCTCACGAAGAGACCTTACCTCACAGATAGGCCATTGCACAGATTGCTCCACCGACGTGAGCAGAGTGAGTTGGTTTACCAGACCAACGCCAGCAGCCGCCACATATTCGTTGATTGCCTTCTCAAATCCTAGAAAGGAAGGAGGTTGTGGAAGCATAATCACATCGTCGAAGTAAAGGCTCGAGGGGATCAGGAAGCGATCCTGGATGCTGCGCAGTATCGTTGCAGTTGATGCTGACGTCGACACGTCCGGCCGTTGAATGCAAAGCAGTCTGCGTACACTGCAGCGAGAACCCATGTGGTGCATGATCTGAGCTCTCCACAACAGCTTAGCTGTATCCTCTTCAGCGTCTGGCAGCACGTCGCTCTCGTTTACGTACAGAACAAATACTCTCGTAGTTGCTGATGCCTCCCTGTCTGGTAATTCTTCCTTGTTATCGCTAGTATCCATCTTGCCATCGTCCTTGAAGCAACCGCTCGTGTCTACGCCAAACGGTGAAGACGTCGTGATCACGCACTGGTTCTGAACAAAGAGTGCAGCTCCAACTCGAGTCGTTAACTCGATGGGTGGGTCAAGTGCCTTCCGTTTGGCACTTTTGCTCTCCAGGAGATCGTTCGAGTACGACGCACTCACTCCGTCTCTCGTCGACAGCGTGATGTGCGGTATTTTGTTTCTCGCTTGCAACGGCAATCGCTCATCTATCTCCACACGAAGCGTCTGCGCTTGATCGTCCTGTACAACTTCAACGGCACGGACTACGAACGGAGCACCAAGCTCGGCAAGTCTGGCGTACTGCGTGTTAGGTCGGTAGAACAACGTGACGTGGTCGGCCAGTTTGGTTGAATGCGCTAGAGGAGCCTGCGACAGCATCTTCTGCTGGGCATCATCGTCCAAGAAGAGACCCAGATACGTCAAGCCACCGACCTGTGCATCCGACAGCGGGTTTCCAGTGACTCTCGCGTGCTCAAACTGCGGTGTGAAGCAGTGGGCGCGTCGATCTTCCTCCCACCGCATGAACATACTGACAACTTTATCGGGAGGGACGCCGTGCGAGTTGCGTTGACCCATTCGAAAGGCCATCAAAGCGTCGACGCATTTCATTTCCACGATATGAACACGACTTCCATAAGACCTGGCGATATCCTCGTACGGTTCGTATTCCCATCTCTGAGTGCTGGTGTTATCCACCAGAACAACATGTTGACGATACCGATATCCGTCGTGATCTCGAGGGATTCCTCCTTGGACAGCTCTAGTGAACTCTCCTTTGCACTTGCTGTGTGCTGCACCCAACTTCCGGACATCAAACACGTAGCCTCGAGGGGTCTCGAAGAAAATGTCAGCCGAACATGCAGTGAACGCAGCCCCTCTGTGGCGACAAATTGCCTCCATCTCACGTCCCAGCGTACTCTTGCCACTGCCCGGAATCCCACGAAGGATAACCACAACAGGCTTTGCGGAGTCAGCGTTGCTACTCAATATATCATCCACTATGGGCGTTAATTGAGGATACCGCAGCTGAGCGAAAGGATCCTGAGCCACGTCCCTTATTGGAGGCAAAAACACTCGTTGGATCTGCTCTCTCTCCTCCCCCGACACGTCAACGACAAGCTGACTCCATACCTGCTTCCCTTCCCAATGGTAATTATCTATATCGGAGTTCCCACACTTCACAAATGCAGACGCTAATCGGACCATCATTCTGTTTGTCGACAGTAGCACTTTGGATAGCACTCCACTACTCTTGAGTCTCAGCATCAGACTGCTCGCGAACCTCCACAGCTCGTCCTCAGACGCTCTAGTGAAGCCCAAACTCAGCATCCACTCGTCGTATTTGGAGTCATGACGCAGTATCGTCTTGGCCGTCAGCTGTTGCTCCTCTTTATATGCAGTCGGTCTCGTTAGCCCGGCGAGCACGCGCTGCAGCTCCACCAGGTTCTGCCACGAGTTCAGGCCGCATTCCAGCAGCTCCACACGCACGTGGTGGCTCTGTGTGACTCCGACGCCTCGTCTGGCTTCGAACTGTTGCTCGAACGCCGTCAGAACGTCTCGCAGCGCCTTCGTTTCGTCCTGGACATCAGCCAGTTGGAGCGTCACGCGAACGCGTACAGCGCTCTGCTGGATACGGCGCGCAATGTCCTGCTCCGTGGGTTCTCCAGGTGGCCGACGACCGCCTCGACCTCCGGAAGACGACGGACGGGGGCCGCCGGATGCAGCAGAAGAGCGACGGTTCTTGCCCCAGGCCATTACACTGTAATTTACAGTTGGTTAGCAACTGAAGATGTGGCAAGGAATGGATACAGACCTTCACTCTTAAAAACCTCTGTATTAGCATAATAAATGAAAAATCAGAATGCAATTCCTGCCAAAAAGAAAAGATCGCGATGACTGCAAAAAGGTATGGACGTTGTTGAACTTGCTAAACGTTTGACACGCATGGCGACGTTCACGTTATCCACTGCCGCTTCATGCCCCATCGAGACATCGGAATTAAATAACGTCGACCGCATAGATAACCTCAGAACGGGGCGTGCTTGTCCAACGACTCGAGAAAGCCCGGTACACTTCTGCAAAACTCGTTCATCTTCTGTGCCCGCTTGCGCAGCTCTTCTTGTAGCCTGGCTTCTGCGGCGATGACTGCAGGGGGTAGCGAGGACTCGGCTGCGGCTGCTGCTCCGAGAGTTGCAGCAGTCGCCATGGCTGACAGCGGGTCCAACTGCTCCCCGGTTGCCCTGAATGACGCAGGACCCGCCTCGACCAGAGCCCTGCCTGTCGGTTTCCCCGATGGCAACTCGTCCGCATACTCCTCCAGCTCTCGTTTCAGACTGCGGATCTTCCTTTCCCACTCTTCAATCTCCTTCGCCTGCGTCGCATTGCGTTCCTCCATCTCTCGTGCGCGCACGTCGTACTCCAGCGCCTGCGTGCTCAGCAACTGGCACGAACACTGGAACAACATCTTCGCTGACGACTGAGAGATGCCGGCAGATGCACTCGCGTCTTTCGCCTTGCGTTTTCTCCTCCGCTCTTCTTCGGGTTTATTAGCAGCTTTCTTTGAAGTTTTATGCTTCCCCAACTTCGTCTTTTTCGTTGCATTTTGAGGCCTCGACGAGTCTCTACGTCGATCTCCTCCTGTCACTTTCACCACCTTAGCATATCTATTCTTTTCGTTTTGTCCTTTAGTTGCGTTTTCTTTTCCTGCCATTGGCGGCTTTGGCAGAACCTTCGTGGGAACCATCGGCGGAAGACCCGCGTCAACGTGTCTGCAATCGGACTTTTCTCGTCGCTGTTTCTCCCTCTCGATGGCTGTGCGATCTGGCGTGTCTTCTACAGATCTCCTTGCTGTCGCGCGACCATCACTCTGCATTTCGTCCAGCGCGCGCTTCTTGCCGGTCACTGGTGCCTTCTGGCCAGCAACTTGGCAGGCTACCGCAGCCAACCGATCGCTTTTCGGTGCATTTAGCTCCGAGAGTATCTCCACACCCAATAGCATCGAATCTCTATCCACTACAGACGCTGGCATTGTCCGTGCTCTCGTCGCCACTCAACTGCAACGCTCAAGCTCAAGAAGCTCTTTTGGTCTCGCTTGACGTGGTCCCGTTCAATCAAACCTGATGCAGCGGTACAGTGTACCTTCAGGCAGCTTGCTTTAAATAAATTGATCTAAATTAGTTTAAGATATTTTCCACTGATTTTGGGAGTTACTGAGTTTCAAGAAAGGAAGCTGGTTATTGGCCATTTCACCATTTCTTTTTCAGTACATTGTAGGTAGGAAGTTGTTCACGCAAGCATCCTGCAGCTAAAGGAGCTTGCTGCCTCTACTGCTCTGTTACGCTGCCCATGGCGGCCTTACGGGAACTGAGTTTGCTTCAAAAGTGCGAGGAGTTTCTGCTGCATCCGAAGGTGCGCGCCTTGTCGCTCGCCCAGCGCGTGGATTTCCTGGAAAAGAAAGGTTTGTCGCCCGAGGAGATTACGCAGTGCCTCAAGAGCGTGGAACGTCGCAACGGCCTCTCGCAGGTGGCGCAGCGCACGATCAAAGGTCTGGCGGATCTGAGGTCACCAGGACCGAACGCTACGGCCTCCACATCGCCATTTCGACTGCTGCAGCTCGTCGTCAAGAAATACGGCGTTGTGACGCTGCTGTTGGCGCTACTGGGCTACGGGTACACGCAGTTCAGGAGGCGGAAGACGCAACAGCTGCTGCTTCAGCACGAGTCTGAGAAGACACAACGTAGAAAGCGCATGCACACGCGGGTGGAGGCGCTGATGGCCGTGGTCAAGGACCAACAGGCACAATACAGCCAGGCATCAGAGCTGCTGGGAGCGCGCGTGACCAAATATTTGGCCGCGCAACAGGCTGCGACGGAGCAACCTAAGGCAAATACATCAAGCATGCAGCTCTCGAGAGGACTGGAGCTGCAGGCGCTACAGAGTGAACTGATGGAGCTCAAGAGCACCGTCCTGGACACGTATCTACAGCCGCGGATTGTACGCAAAGTGGTGGAGGTGACCAAGGAGATCCCGATCGTACTGAGACCTTCTGGAACTACTGCGACGGAGAGGCTTGCGCAAGGGACGGAAGGTGTACAGGACGCGGATGAGGTAGGGAAGGTTGCTGCTTCTGGGTGGAAGTCGACGAGGAAGCCCCTCGAAAAAGTGACATGCACGAGTCCATCAACTGAGAAGCAGAACGGAGTCAGAGACCAGACTTCGATGAGTCCTGAGGAAATAGCCGAGCTGTTTGAGCGCGGTCACGTTGAGGAGAAGCTGTCCACAGCTAGCACCTACAGGGTCTTGTTTGCAACTCAATAATGGAAACTAAAAATTGGTTGCTGTAATTTATCGGTATTTTATATTTTTAAATTTGCTACAATCCATCAATTTAAATTTGATCGTGATTTTTATCGACTGATTGATGTGATTTTCTTCGTAATTATTCATTCCAGTTTTCGTGTTGAAGAAGAATGGTGCAGTTATTGTGTGTGATCACTAAACACCTTTGCCAGGTCAAGATGGTGCTACTCCACTTCAAAGTGGTGAAGTAACTAAACCTTTTTAAAAATTATTCTCAATTTTTACATTAGAGTTTATGTCACTTCACAAATATGTCGAGTAAACGCACTCCGTACTTCAAAGTGGTTTATTCGCAGTTCAAAGCGGATCAACCCTCCTGAGCGTGTGCGCGAGCACTTCATTGCCATTCCTCGCTCTCTCTTATCAATCTTTTACCAAGCCCTCAACCAAGCCAAGCCTCTACCTACCCCAAGATGCCCAGAGCCCCGCACCTCGCATTTGCCAGAGCTCGTGTCCTCGACTGCCTCCGTGTCGGCGGTGACTGGACGCTTGTGGCCGCCCACAACGGAATCCCCGCCACCACATCACGTCGATTTGTGGAAGCAAACGGAAGCACACGTCGCTGAACGAGCCGACTTGGTACTTGTACGGCTGGCTCCGTACTCTTCAATATGTAACCCCATTCAAGGTACGCTGTATACTGTATTACAATATTTTTTTAAATGGCATACTAACCGACTTTTGAACTGGTGCTACAGGGTGTTTTAGTGCTTTTAAGGCCAAGATCAAGGCCGACCTTGCCTTGCCCCGTAAAGGGCTGGTTGTGGAGCATCCTCGCGGGACGGTTGCGGCTGCTCGGATGGAGAAACTGGAACGCGCGGCGAGACGCCGCATCGGATGTATCGACACGCACCTTGCTAACAGGTTGACACTGCATTGCCAGCATTCCGTTGCTGCCGCGGAGCGCATGGAAGACATGCAGTACGGCACCTAGCTGCAGCTCGGACCACTTTGCTCTGCGTTTTCGCCACTTTGAATTTCCTTTTTAGTGCTACTTTTTCGTAATCAATTTTTTTTTTTTTAAAAATCCGGTTTGAAGTGGAGTAGCACCATCTTGGCCTGGCAAAGGTGTAGTGTGCCAGGAAGCGCATTCGCCATCGATATCGGCAAAAGCAGCACCATTTTCCATTTGAAGAAGGCGATCAAGCAGAAGAGAATAAAGGCATTTTCAAAAGTCCAGGCAGAAGACCTTGAACTCTTCCTAGCAAAGAAGAAGCATGGCGTCTGGATAGACAATAACTCAGAACTCATCAAGGCGTTGACCGAGGAACATATGACTGCGTTACCAAAGCGGTAACGCAAGAAGGCAAAGAGCTAGCAATCGAGTTTAGACTTGAAACGATCTCAGGGGTAACCCACTGATTAAATTCACGTACTACGTAGTGAGAGCCCCACAATCGTCGCTATCGTGCACTACACCGATTGGACCTGCGATTGATTTTTATTCGGATGGCAATCTTTTCGCATTCTTGGAAGGAGAAATGACCAACTGACACGCCACAAATCTAAAACCCCACATGCTGGCTGAGGATGACTTCCAATTTCCGTTCGTAGGACGGCAGGAGGTGACGTCTGGTGCAGCATCTAGCTTCAAACGTATCGTCAAAAGTGCGAAGAGCTGCTCACATGATCCTGTTAACAGCCAATTTGCGGTTTGCGCTGGGATGCATGGTGTGGGAAAAACTCTTGTTTTGGAAGAAGGCACAACGATTCTGAGAGATGGTATGAAGCTGAACCCCACTAACATTACCACTGACATTATCAGTGTGATTGTCCTGTACTCCAACGAATACAACCCCCCCCTCCCCCAGCAAGTCGAGCGCTTGATGCCGATTTCGGCATCTTTTCCATGGCGGCTATTGTATCTGGACAATAACTGAGCGTCCTTTCGAGGAATGGTTTGATTCGCGATTGCCTCGGAATGGAGGCCAGCTATCGTTTTCGAAGGCCATTTAAACTGTTGAGCGCAAACTAGGAAAAGCTGGCCCAGATGCACCACTGAAGTATCTCTTTTATCGGCGTCGACGATTTCCGGAATATTGAAATGGTTCGAACCCAGCTCTGATACGTCGCTTCTACATGTACTCATAGATACCACAGGAGATTATCTGTGCTTGCAGTGGGTTGGGCGTCTGAACTTGGTCGTGCTACCCATGTTTTCGGGGATAACGCTGAGAAGCTCGTACAATTCTGATAGACGTTATGTTTAGGCAACGCACATAAGCAAGTATTTAGAGCCAATTGACCATCAGATGCGGGTTCGTCTAGCTGCTTCTGCTGTTTCTGGTGCTAATATGCTATTCGACCGAAGGTGCAGTTTCAACGAACTCCTTCACGGCCGATCCACGTGTGAACACGCATTGGCTAACGACGAGAAAGTTTCTGCGCTTCGAGCTGCTGTAACTCGTCGCCACGCCTCTTAAACTCACAAATGGTTTCCTGCTTCATGTATCTGCTCACCGACCACATCAGGCACGGCGATCGGACGTGCATCGAGGAAATCCCACAGCTCCTCTGGCCCGAGCCAGCTATTGTGAGCCACCGAGACGATGTGCAAGCGGCTCTGTCGCGTCGAGTTGCTGGTTCATCCTAGTACCCGCGCTAGTGTCGGTCTCGGTTATTAAACCCTGAGTGTTGCCGTCCGCACTGTCTACAGCGCTGCTTTCCTCAAGACTTCGCTCGCTTCCACTAATCACACGTGGCGCGTCATCCAGCGCTTCCCGTGGCGGCTGGACACTCGGTGATACATCGCACGATCTTGACCTCTCCAAGCTCACATTCGCCACACATGTTGCTGTTGTTACGGTCTCAACTGGCCTCGTCGTTCGCAACTTTTTTGTAGAGGAGGTAGCACGAGAGGCATCAGCACGACGTGGTGGCTCTGTTGCCGGCAGCCGCAACTTGCGTCGCTTGATCTTCTGGCGATATTTCTGTGCATGGCTCATGGTCTGTCGAGCATCGCGGGTGCCGACAACGTTAGCGATCTTTTTCCAGGGCCCCTCTTTGAAAAGCTCCATACCGAGTAGGAATCGCTCGTGCTCGTCTTCTGTCCAGCGTTCTCCTTTCGTCGATTCGGCTGTTCGAGTTGGCACCTGTAGCAACAGTGCTGGAGTCGAAGGATGCTGCTGAAGCGAGTTTGAGATGCATGGAATACAGATGAGAACCTTGGTCTCGTCGTCCTGGAACTCCTGCTGGACGCTTTGTGTGATGGTCATTTATATGTGTCAACGTAGAGCTGTTCCTGTTGCAGCGATGTAGGGGGGGGGGCTGTTTGCACCTTTTTGACGATTTCAAAAGTGGTCGACGGCATCCTGACGAGATCTTGCTTGGAGGTCGCAGAGGTCAACGCGTCAAATGACTAAGGCATCAAGCGTCGCTGCTCAACACGGATTATTGTTGACTCTTTTCGGTAAGTCTAGAAGTCGAAGTTGGATTTTCATCGAAATATCCAGATTTTCAGGTCTCGGAAAACTCAAAGTTTATATCAACTTCTGTGTAAATCTTGTAAAAGGATTTCACGAAGAGCAAGTGATGTTGTCGCAGGGACTTTATACTATTCAATCCAGCTTGCTTCTGTTTTGCAGATTGCAGTATCGACACTGGCGGAGAGTACAATAGACAAATTAACAAATGGATACCGACTGTAGAAATGCCAAGAGCCACACATTGGTGACCGATGGCTTCATTTAGCCATTCAACGCAAAAAAATTACCGTGATGGCCGTATCTTCAGGACGAATCCAGCTTTGACACTCTATACGGCTTTTCATTACATTTCCTTGACGAAATGCCTAATAAGTCCACCATCACTCACCAATGGCGCATGACGAGCGCCGAAATAACCTTTTCAAAATATCCAATCTCACCTTCCGACGAAGTTTGGCTGCCTGTCACACACAAATGCCATATTTCGATATAAATTCCAGGTCGTATCATTCAAATTATTCGGTGCAACTAGACCAATTAACAAAAAATGCAACTACTCGTGCGCTACAACCAGCTTCAGCCCCTACGACTTTTGCTGGTTTCCTTGTGGAGACTAAGGAGTTTACAAAGCTCGAAGGACTTCTCAAGCTTGTTCGCACAACTGCGATTTTGGCGTCGAAGGATAAGTTTCGAGAGAGAAATATTGAGAAGAAAGCAAAACCGATCGCAGGCTTGCCAGATGTCGAGGCATTTCTTAAGTGGCTAAGCGAGCAACTTAAAGTTCCCAGATGTCCCGCTTCTACGAACTGGGTCAATTTAAGCCGGTGATGTATACCGCAGCCCGCGATTTCATCCTTGTTCTGCTGCTATTTACAACACCGCCACAACGTCTTCAGCTTCTTCTCGGCATGACGATCTCGAACGCAGAGAAAGATGCTGACGGTATGTACAGCTGTGTGATCCCAGAGCACAAGACTACTCATCTGTACGGGTCGATTATGTTCGTCCCCAAGCACTTCACTGAGGAATTCGACAACTTTCTGTTGCTTCGCCAGGAACTGCTAAAGGAACAGAACAGCCGCACTAAGGATTGCAGTCTTTTGAAAGAAGATGCTCTTTTCATTGGCCAAAACAGTCGCCCAGAGCGATACCTGACACAGCGTTTTGAGAAACTCGTTCACGACAAGTTATCAAAGCACGTAGCCATTCGTGACTGTTGAAGCATCTACATAACTTACGCAAACAAGCACACTAAGAGTATGAAGGAAATGTATGAGCTGTCGCGGCTCATGTACCATTCATTCATCACTGAGCAGCTGGTGTATCGCGCCGACACGTCCCAGAAAGACGTCATCTTGCTGAACGACTTGGGAATCGCATCGCTACTCTTCATCAGTCAAGCTCCAATGACCTGTTGCAGCTTCCAGTGTTTCAACAACACACAGCCGGCTCGAGTGACGATGCGTTCACAGTGGATGATGATGCTGATATAGGTGAGGCAGAAACTGCGAGTCGCTTACAGGACGAATTGAACGCTAACCTTGCAAGCGATGATCTTCATTTGCAGCTCATTTATGAGTATGAAGAAAAATGCCGTAGCGCTAACTTGTGAGCATGTCACAAGTCTAATAGATTTCAAACCGAATTTACCAACGTCGTTATAATGTACTATTCAGCCACTCCGACGCACCGCCCAGCACTGACACAGCGTAGCCTTTACCAGTCACCGAAGAGCCACCATACACCTCGACGGACCCTCACCAGATTCACTGCTGATACGAATAGATTCGCTAGACACGCTGCTTGTGCTAGTATACACCTCGGTGCAACCACTAGAACCACAGAACATGATGTTCGTGGACACCCGTGCGTCGCCACTGCTCACGGTACCACCAACTTCGTTATAATGTACTATTGAGCCACTCCGACGCACTGCCCAGCACTGACACAGCGGGGCCTTTACTCCTTACGCGACACCTCCAGTTTCTTGTCAAAGCACGGCATCACTGCGACATGGTAGACTTCGCTGGGTTTGACGCCATGCTCGCCACTTATGAAGCGCTTGATGATCGAGCCAGCAATTTGTTGCGGCGATTTCGTCGTGTCAATGAACGGAATGGCATTCGGTTGAGACTTTTCAGCATATTCCATCCAGGACACGATGATGCTAGCACTGGCATCGCTCGAAGCGGGTCTTGCAGCGGATTGGCAGTTGTACTAGGCTCCAAGAACTCGGTCTTAGCGGACAAGACAGCTACAAAAGACGGTGGTCGAGCCCAGATAGTCTTCTGTTGATTACGGTATCTGTGCAGGAATTCTGCGCGAGATTCGAGCAGTGCAAAGTCTCCACTGCATATCGAGTCGATCACGAGGGTTACACCGAGGCTACACAGCTCCTGGAAGTGGCTCGTGACATTGTCAAGCAATTCCGAAGCCAGCACCGTCGACTTTGGTCGGATCTGGCCGCCACCATTCAGACATTCACTTGGACATGCCATGATCTCGACGTAGTGATACGGACACCGGTTTCTCCTGATCTTCGTCATGATCGACTGGATGTTGCGGAGCCCGTACGCGACAGCGAGCTTTTGCACTTCTTTGCCTTCTACAACCAGCGAGACTTCACGAAAGTCCGGATTGCGACCCACAACGTACTCAAGTGGTCCATTCACTTCCACGTTGAAATATTCCTTTGCAGCATAACGGAAAATGTGCTCAAGATGGCCACGTGAACTGGTATTCTGACTGCTGCCTAAGACACTTGAGCCGTCTCCAGACACACCACTCAGCATAAACCTCCTCCGGTGTCAGCGTTGCGAGCTCAAGTGAAGCGAAGTCAACATTCAGAGACTCGATCAGCTCGATGATCTCTGTGATGGCAAGCACGTAGTCCACGTCCTTGGTTGCGTCCTCTGCGTCCTGGTCGTGTCATCCGCAGAGACTGCTTTGCCATCGGCTTCTGCTTAGCGACTGCCGAACATCAATCAATGTGTCCCACATCTGCGACTTGCTCGATCCGATTCCATAAAAAGCATTGCAATAAACATATATCAGTAGTAATTAATTTTAGTTATTTATATTATTCTGACTGTGACCACTATGGGCTCAGAGATTTTGGCGCAGTTGTTTAGGCTCGACCCACCTAAGCACCTGCCCTGAGTTCAAACCCGCCTTCGTGCAGTTCACGTTATGGTATCGGAGCGGGTCGGTCTTTGATTGGATGGTGGCTGCGATGTATACGGAGGTTTTGCTCTATTTTTACTTTGCGATTAGTTTAGCAGAATGACTCATCAAATGACCAGTTCGTTATTTACCATGTTTCTTTATGCTTATCAAGAGAGTTAATACGCTTATTCGCGAACCTCGTCTTCGGCACTAGCTACTGTCGACGCATTCCACAAATCCACGACGACACAGCCTGTGTCGTCTTCTTCGCCAACTGAAGAGAGTGGAGTTGACAGTGAGGCTCTTTGAGCACTATCTGCTTGGGCCAAGCCTTGACCCACCTGTGTGTTTCGCTTCTTGCACGCTGCTGCTCGAGCTCCACGAGTGTGCAGCCACATGGATTCACATCTTTGAGACATTTCCGATCAATCGCTGGTTGTTGAAGAGAGCGCGGTAAAATCACAGACGAAAACGGTCATTTCACAGAACGTGTTACCATTTCACAGACCGAGGAATCCAGCTGTCTTATCAGATTTGCTTTAAAATAAATATCAGTACTTCCTCTTAAGTGTAAGCACTTTTTCTTTAAGAAAAAAAGCTAAAAAAACTGAAACAAACATACCCAAAAAAAAATACTGTGTATGAGTGTCACCATGAGCGCACGGATAACAGCAGGACAACAGTGCTACAGTGGCTAAAGGTGCGTGCGAGACAACGAATGCCTACCAACGGAGGAGACGAAAGCCATCGCCACATTGACCACAAGCTCAAGGGGAAATATGCAGCATTGATACGAAGCTATAGTTTTAACTTGCCGGCAGAACTGATCGCGTAGGCAAAAAAAAAAACAATTACGCCGGCAGATTTAATAGCATGACTAGCCAAACCGCGCCTATTCATCAGCAGAGTTAGTCTGCCTGCTTTGATTTCACTGCAGCTATGTCAGTCGTCAACGCCCAGCAACAAAAAAGCATTCAAGCCAAATACATATCATATTATGGCATGGATAAAAGCAAGCGCGTATCCGCCGGCAGATTTGCTACGGACACGTGTATTGCAATTCTGCCGGCAGATTTAACAGCATGGCTTAAATGAATGCAAGTACACAGCTTCCACCAGATTTCTTTCAGTGATGCAATTATACCAGTAGAATTAATAGTAATTGGTGTGTTCTGAATGAAAGCAAGCGCATATCTGCCAGCAGATTTACTTAAGCTCGTGCAATTCTGCCGGCGGCTCTCCCCAAGGAGAGCTCCGATTTCTCCTATTGTAATATTTCAAAATGAAAATTCAATACAATTTTTTGTGTTGTTATGTCCCGTGACGGTTAATTAGCTGTACTGTATAACATATGTCCATCCGGACGATATGTCCATCCGGACACCAATATCTACCAATGAACGAAGGTGAATTTAATAAGGTTTTTTACAGTTAACCATTTGTTCATCCGGGCAGTGCTGTTTTTGTGCGAAGCCTTGATGGATGGTGGGAGGCGCCGCTCGCCATTTCCAGAAACACTCCAGACCATGGCGCGGGGACGCAAGGCATCTCCAGGAAGTCTAGGCAGGCGTCCAAACGCGTACAAGCGGGACTGTGAAACATTCGGCAAGAAGTTAGACGTAATAAACTTCTATTCACAGCATGGCATGCAGGCTACTCTCGCTAAGTACTATAGCCATCTTGCAGATACAAGTCTCGAATCTAAACGGAAGCGTATTTTAGAGTGGAAGAACAACCGCACAATGATCGAGAGCATGGCGTCAACAACTACTGGGGCTCAGCTCAAGTCGGCACGAAAAAAAGGCTCAGGAACCACAATATTAAGAATAGGCGAGGAAGCTCTGGTTGAATGGGTTAATTCGCTGCGCGAAGAAGGTATTCCTGTCTCGCGATTGATGTTGCAGCTAAGGGCAAAGAGTGTGGCAGAGGACGAAGGTGTCGCAGAGGGGGTGTTTGAAGGTAGTTGGGTTTGGCAACAAAGTTTTCTCGGGCGTCATGGACTGACGTTAAGGGCAAAAACACGGCAAGGACAACAAGCTCCGAGTGCAATGGAGCAAGAAGCCGCTGAATTTTGGGCAACGGTAGAGCAAACGCGGCTCAACCTTAACGTTAGCAAGATTTACAATGCTGATCAGAGCGGCGTCTGCTTCGAGTATCTGCCGAAGCAAACGATTCCAAAGAAGGGTGCTAAAACAGTTTGGGTCCGATGCGGGGGGAAAGATAAAGATCGTTTTACTGGCATGTTTTTGGCGGATTCGGACGGCAAGCAGTATCCACCGTTTTTTGTGATGAAAACAAAAGCATCTGCGAACCCTGACACTGCTGCTTACAATACTGCGGTGCAACATGGCTTTGGAAAAACTCTGTGGAAAGAGGTGCAGTCTCTTACAGCGTCTTTAGGCGTACAAATTTACGGAAACAGCGCGGCGTGGTGGAACTCGGATTTATCCGTTGCGTGGCTGGATTTTCATTTTGCTAGTCGAGCTGATGACGAACCGGTACTCCTACTGTGGGATGACTTCTCCGGCCATGGGACGGAGGAAGTCGAGGCCTATGCCAACACACTCAATGTGTTCCTACTCAAAGTTCCACCAGGACTGACGTCGGTTTGCCAACCAGCGGATATCTCGTGGTTCAGACCATTCAAGCAGCGACTGAGAAAGGAATGGGTCAATCATTTGAGTACGCAGCTTAGAATGTTCAGCCCAAGCAGTGCAGATGCTGCGTTCAAGATGATAGCCCCCACTCGCGCTACTGCCATTACTTGGGCGACAACTGCATGGCGAGAATTGGGGGCGGGAGTAGTACGGAGTGGGTTTAAAGGTCTCTTAAAGGCTCGAAGTTGTGGCAGTTCAACTCACTCCACAGCTACCGAGAGCGAGGAGCAGCGCAACAGCATCTCTACGTCCGCCGATATCACGATGGATACAACAAGTGCTGTGGTGGCACGTCTCGAGACTCTGAATGTGATCATAGATACGGTAGACGACAGCGATGATATCGTCGAAAACAGCATTGGTGAAGCTGGAGATGCGTAGGTAACGCTAGGTGGGAATGATTTGCAAATTGTATGGCCAATTTTAGTTACTGAGGTGTTTTGGTTTGTATTGAAAGTTGTGGTGTCCGGATGGACATATGTTATACAGTACTAAGCCACACATTACCTGTGCGGTGGTAGCCTTCCGTGGGAAGTACCACGAGTCTTCGACACGTCCGCTATCTCCGCCGCGTGTGCGTGCGATGCACCCATGCACCATGCATACA